TATATTTTCTGACTCTTTGCTGAAACCTCTGCTCTGTGCATCTATACTCCTCTTGAGTTCCCTGAACATCTTCACCATCATTCTAAACTCTCTCGGATAAACTGCCTATTTCCTTGTCCTCTGTTCCTTCTATGATTTTTGTCTTGTGCCTTGCTTGGCCTGGGAGAGATTACTCTGCCTCACACTGTCTACTATCCTTCTATTTGCATTTTGAGGTAGGTTAGTTCCGTTTGTCAACCATGGAGAGGTGGTCCTCTGTGGGAGACGTCCTATTTGTCCCAGCAGTACACTCCTCTCTTGTCGCCCAAGGGCCAGGGTCCAGCCAGTCCCAGGGTAAATTCAGGCCTGTGTTTGTGGATTCCTTCCACAGGCTTTGGGATTGTTTTCTTATTTCTGGTGTCTGCCCCCTGGTGGGTGAGGCTGGACCTGCACTTTCTGCTGGTTTCCTGGCAGGAGTGGGTGCATGCCCACTGCCAGGTGAAGCTTGGTCCTGGACCTCTGGGGGGTAGTGCCGTGTCTAGAGGTATCTGTGGCTCAGGAAGTCTGCTGATGGGGGGGGGCGGGGGGAGCTGGCTATGTTCCCACCCAGCATGTTTTTCTTTAACTTTATGTATTTATTTTACAGTATCACATTTTTTTAATTGTAGTACAGTTGATGTCCAGTATGGTATGTTACAGGTATACACTATAATGATTCCCAATTTCGAAAGGTTATACTCCATTTATAGGTACTATAAAATGTGGCCTGTATTCCCCCATGTTGTACAGTACCTCCTTGTAGCTTATTTTATGCCTGATAGTTTGTACCTCTTAATCCTCCACCTTGCCCCCGCTTCCGTCTCCCACTGGTTACCACTAGTTCCTTTTCTTTTCTGTTATATTCACTAGTTTATACTTTTTTAGATTCCACATGTAAGTGGTATCTTCCAGTATTTGTCTTTGTCTGACTTACTTCCCTTAGCATCATGCCCTCCAAGTCTATCCCTGCTGTACCCCAGAAACTAACACAACATTTTAAATCAACTGTACTTCAATTAAAAAGCAAACAGCCAACCAACCCACTTAAAAGATGTGCAGAAGAACTGAACAAACATTTTTCTAAAAGAGGAAATGCAGATGGCCCACAGGAACATGAAAAGTTACTCAACATCACCAGTATCAGAGAAATGCCTGCTCAAAATCACAATGAGATATCATCTCAAAACTGTCAGAATGGCCATCATCAAAAAGAACACAAGTAACAAATATTGGCAAGGATGTGGAGAAAAGGGAACCCTTGTACACTGTTGGTGGGAATGTAAATTGGTGTCCTGGGTAATTTGTTAGGGATGACATTAAATCTGTAGACTCCTTTGTGTAGTATGGCCAGTTTAACAATATTCTTCCAATCTAACAGCACAGGATATCTTTCCATTTCTTTAAAGCATCTTTAATATCCTTAGTCAATGTTTTGTAGTTCTGCATGTGTAAGTCTTTCACCTCCTTGGTCAGATTTATTCCTAAGTATTTTATTTTTTTGGATGCAAATTTAAAAGGGATTGTTTCTTTACTTTCCTTTTCTGATATTTCACTGTTAGTGTAAAGAAATGCAACTGATTTCTGTATGTTAATCTTGTATCCTGATACCTTGCCAATTTCTTTTATCAGCTCCAGTAGTTTTTGTGTGGAGCCTTTAGGGTTTTCTATATACAGTACCATGTCATCAGCATATGACAACTTTACCTCTTCCCTTCTAATTTGGATCCCTTTTATTTTTTTCTTGTCTAACTGGCTAAGACTTCCAATGCTATATTGAATAGAAGTGATGACAGCGGGCATCCTTGTCTTGGTCCACATTTTAGCAGAAAGGCTTTCAGCTTGTCACCGTTGAGTACTATGCTGGCTGTAGGTTTGTCATAAATAGCTTTTATCATGTTGAGTATACTCTCTCTAGTCCCACTTTGGTTAGAGTTTTTATACTTTCACATTAATGTCAAAAACACTTGCGTTCTGATCTGTAACTATATTTAATGTTTCTATCCTGCCTGCAGTTTGATTCTAGAAGTGCAAATCAATACACAGCACTTAGACATTTTTGCAACAATTATCTGGTAAGGCCTGGAGATGCAGGCAGTGCTTGCCTAGCTGCCAGCCCTGCCGCGGGTGACCTCTCAGGGAGCAGGCCAGCACCCTGGGGAATACCCGAACACAAAAGCTGGCATCTTTGCTTCAGGGCCACCCCTGGTCGTGGGCTGGACGGCTGGTGCTGACTGATCTCCCGAGGGAATCAAGGAAGAGAGTGGAGGGCAGGGGCTCACCTGTTTCTAAGAGATTTTCCTTTCATTCCTTCTGTTTTTAGCACCAAAGTCTACACACCTCCCTGTACCTGGAATCTGACCACCACGCTTCTTCAGAGTCTTTTAAGTCAGATGACTCGTTTCTTGGTTTATTCTGAGCTTCAGCCTATTTCATCCTATTTCCATGAGCTACCACTGTTCCGGCTGCTGCATATGTCCCCAGAAACGTACTGGGATCTCTATTCTGTGAAGGCCTTCCCTGTTTCCTCCGTCATCATGGGTTTATGTTTTTAATTTTGTTCCCTCATTTTAAGGTGGCGGGAGGTCCTCAAGATGGATAGGTGTTAAGTACACAGTCAACCCCCTCATCAATACCATGGCATTTGATACTCTTTTTACAGTTTCTGTATTTAATTTGTGGCTTAATCCAGATTTCTTTTTGTGTACTATTTATGATATATAGTCTACAGCATAAGAAAGGGAATGAAGAAAGGCTTTATCTTTGTCTACCTGGCCAATTTCCACCATGCTGTATTAATATTTCCCCACTGGTTTATGAGAATTCCTGTGTCATGTATTAAAGTCAATTTCAAGACCACCTCTTCTAATAATGTATCTGCAAATCTCTGCCTAATATCCCATCATTTATTCTAGGCAAATTCTGTTGCATTACTCTTGTTTTCCAAAATTATCACTGCCCTTCTTCCCTTTCAGAGACATTTTCAAATCAGTTTCTCAGTTTCCAAAAAGGAAATCCCACCGGAGCTATGGAATCACATTATACTTCAGCCTAATTTTTGGAAGAAATCACCTCTTGACTGCTTTTCCAACCAGAAAAGATATAAGTACCTCCCAAAATGCAAGCACTCTTCGATATTCTTTTGGAACACTTCTTGGCTCCCTTCATATAAGGGAGTCATTCCTTCTAGGGTTTTTCCTAGATATTTTTTATTGTTGGTTATTAGCATTACTGCCATGATTTCTTCCATTGTTGTCTACAGGTTATTCCTAAGAAATCAGTAAGCTATTGAATTTTTAGTGCAAAGTTTTTTTTTATTGAACTGTTATTAATTCAAAAAGCATCTGATTCTCCTAGATTTCCAAGTCCTACAGTTGTATGATTTGAAACAACTGTAGTTACCTGCACAGTCAGTTTTACCCTGTCAGAGGTCCTCCTCCTCCCCCTGGACGTGAGACTGCTCCATCTGCTCCCAGCTGCCCAAATCGGGAAAGGGTTTGAGGGGTGACTTCTGTTACCCCTTCTCTTCCAGAATGCTGTCTAGGTATGAAGAAGTGGGCCTCTTCTAATCTAGACAGCATTCCTAAGTCAGCCAAGGACAGTGGATGGCCCATTCCGACGAGAGGAGCAGGGTGGAGCAGATGTCTTAATCTTGTGCTTCTACAGGACTGATTTTAGTCTCTTCTTTGCAGTATTTAACCTCTTTACTTCTGTTTGCTATGTATCTTATCACAGAGACTGGAAGATAAGGAAGACTCGTGCTAACAGTGAGCATTTGCTACTGTGAAAACTGGGAGTCCCGGGGAAATAAATATTCCCTCAAATGGTGGTTTTAACAAACAACTGGTGTTCAAGGCAGGTGGGACCCCAGACACAGTGAGGAAGTGGCTCTCACAGGAGTGGCCTCATGAGAAAGTTCCTGGGAGGCTTTGAGCTGCTGGGGGTGGGCCAAAATGGTCTCTGGGTGAAGGTGATAGGGGAACCCTAAAGCCCCAGATTCTGGCAGGAAGGTACTAGCAGGGAGCTGAGGGGACGTGCCTCAGGCGAGGGTAGAGCTGGGGCTTTTCCACTCCACATCTGAGGTAAGAAAGTCTATTTAGTTTCTTACCTTAGATTGGAGTCTATCACCTCAGTATGGATGATTTTTCATAGTTCTTGGTGGTTTGCAGATACTTCCAAGGAAATCCAAAGAAGGGTGAGGCACCGAGGGAGGATTCAGCAGCCACTGACCCATCTACCCTGGCCAGCGGTGACGTGAGTGCCCAGTGACAGACCAGGGCACCCTGGGCCTTGGCACTGCGTGCCTTCAGCCAGCAGGCAGCATTTGCCCTGAAATCCTCTGAGCTTTACCTCCCCAGGCCGTTGGCCAAAAACTTCAAAATCCTGTAAAAAGTACCAGAACGATCTAAACGGTTCCTGAGAAAGGCTCCAGGCGATTCTCACTCTTACCTTGTGTCCAAAAGGGTCTCTATTGGGGATCCTGGTCTACTCACTTTAAAGGTGTGGATGAGTCACAGAGGGCCGTCGGGAGCTCCACCAAGTGGTCCCCGCTGACAACTAACAGGGTGAGCTTCTTTAGGTTAAGCAGGGCATATGGAAGGTATGTCATCTTATTCTTATACAGGAGGAAGGTCTCCAGTTCCTCTAGCCTAAAGAAGACGCAAAAGAGATTAGAATAGAAGGATTTAGCCTCACAGCTAAGAAAACCAAAGTGGATTACAAATGAGGATTTCTTACTAGAATTTACCTAGTTAATTTTCATATGTGATCGTTACGAGAATAAACTATTTAAGTAATTTAAAGCCATGCCACTATCCATGACATGATTTGGGTTTTCTTTTAAGGTTTTGCTGACTCAATTGCCAACTGAAGACACAGGTATAGCAGAGGCAAAATCAACACGTCCCCATACCTCTACCAAAGTGTCTACTGTATTCCCAAGGATTAACGGGGCAAGGGAAAGAAATCACATTAGAATTAGAGAATAGACAAATTTTGGCAACATATTTCTTTTGTATGTCTTCAAAACAGTTATTCTCCCATCATATTTTCAAACTTTAAAATAGGAATAAACCTGCAGAGGGAAAAGAAAAGGAGCAATATGCTCCAAAGGTCTTCCTCTGTCTTCCAGAGTGACCCTCTCTAGTTTTTTCATTCATTTGTAGAATTTTGACTGATCTCACAAATGCTTCACCAAGTTCCCCTTGTGTTTCAAACTAAAACAATTCCCACTTTGTCTCATAAACTTGGAAAGCATCTATCCACAGCAATCATATGAGAATGCACTCAGGGCCAAGCCATCTTTGGCTTCTGCATCTCGACAGCTGACTTATGCTACCTTAAGAAGACTGGATTTCAGAAGGCTGGAGAGTTTGTTTCATCCACCACTCTCCAGGCCTGCCATGTGGGAGCCCAGTAATACTGGTGGAATGAATGACTCTTACATGAGCGAGTATAGTTATTTTTTAAACAAGAAATAGCTATGAGGATATGCTTAGGTTTTCTAGTTATATCAATTTTGTTTAAAATGTTAGGTATAACGAATCAACAAATGAAACTAATAAAAACAAATGATATGTTTCTATTCCATACATAATGAATTTACTTTTCTACCTTTGGGGAGGAAGGGATAAATTGGGAGTTCAAAGTTTGTATATATACTACTATGCATAAAATAGATAAACAGGAAGTTTAAAATAAATATAGCACAGGGAACTATACATTCATTACCTTGTAGTAACTGATTATGAAAATGAATAGATGTGTGTATATGTATGTATGACGGAACGATTGTGCTGTAGGACAGAAACTAATATATTGTAAACTGTACTCCAATTTAAAAAAAAAGTTAATGGTTCCATTCTGTTGGACTGAGGTAAAGTTCACCAAGATGACAAAGATGTGTTCAAATGCATATAAACATACACACACACACATGTGTACACATACACATATATAGTTGACCTTTGAACAACACAGGCTTAAATTGTGCAGGCCCACATGCACGCAGCTATTTTCCAATAGACGTATTGCAGTACCGCGTCAGTCTGTGGTTGCTCGAATCCGCAGAGAAACCCCAGCTACGGAGGCCGACAATAAATTACGTGCAGATCAACCCCCTTGTTGTTCAGGGGTCAACTGTACATGTGTATGTGTGATGCAAACTATTCTATTCTATAAAGAGCCAAGCTAATTTCCTAGAAACAAGAAACTCGAGAACATCAGTCGATTTCAGAGAGCATTCATGTGCTGTGCCTGTTTAAAATGTAAGTGATTCACGTACTTCACCTTCAGAGTGCAAGCAGCTACCTGTCTATGTCTTGGGGCAGATCGTTCAGGTTGTTGTTGCTGATGTCCAACCACCGCAAATTAGACATCCGCAGCACACAGATCGGGACGCTGGAGAACTTGTTTACTGAGATATCTACGAAGGAAACTTGCTTCAAATTACTTAACTAGAAAGGAATCACAAAAATATTCGGATTACTTTTTAATAGGAATGTCTCTTCCCAAAGGCATTTCTATGAACACACGCAAATCCAATCAGCATTACAGGTATTCTGAGCACCTAATATGTGTCCTTCCCTGTGCTACACACTGGGGGTGCCACAATAAATAGCACACAGTGGCTGCCCTCAAGCCATTTACACTTTCATAAATAAGCAGTGCCATTTTATGTAGTAAGAACTAGTGTGAAGAAGTTTCCAATTTGCCACGTTCGGTAACAGAGAAGTAAGTGGTTAATCTGTCCAATAGGAGTGACTTACGTAGTGGACATGGGGGGAGGGATAAAAAGGTCAAAGATGAGTTGTCCCACTTCCAGCCTGAACATCTGAGAGATTACTGGGCCGCTTTCTAAAGTGGGGAGGACTGGGGACTGAGCAGCTTGTGCAGGGAATTATGAGCCCTGGCTGTGCACCCGCACCGGGACTACCGCCCGGCGTTTCCTGGGGTGACATGGTGCTAAGAATAGAAGCAGCCACTTCCTCCCACCCTGAAGTTTTCAGAAATGGAGAATTAATATGCCTTCTAGGACTAGACAGAATCAGTGGCCAAGGCCTTGTCAGAGCCTCACCAGTGATACTATTTTCAGCTGATTCATTAGCAGGAGGATTTGAGAGATCCTTCTCTCTTCAAGCACAAGCAGTGTGCTGAGTTTTATTTGGCAGCAAAAACTGTTCACTTCCATCTGCTCATTTTATCAGAAAGTGATTTAAAATCATTTCTCCATTGAATATAATGAGTATTTTTTAGTTAATGGACTTCTCAATTCCTCTCTGCAGGACTGTATTAGTTACCTAAGTTTTGCTATGAATATATGAATGTTTTGAATTTTATCCCTTTATTTCAACTGTTTCCAATTTATTTAACCATTATGGATAAATAAATCAAAATCTGCATTGCAGAAAACTGGCATCCCAGACATTAAATAAAAATATCTTGCATTAATATGATTTTTTGCCTAGTTTTCCTTTGACAGCATTTCTGAACTTAAATTCAGGTTGTGGACCAGTATAGTGTCATTTGTAAAGACTTTATAATAGCTGGTTTAGGGTGATTAAAATGTCAGGAAAATGTGATATAAATAAAAATGGATTTCATCTTTTAGAGCTTCTCCCCCATGTTATAGACCATTCCATGTCACAAACCAAATAAAAGCAAATTACAGTGCAAAAATGTTTCTTACCTCAAAGGGGAGCTCAGTTAATTCTAGATTTCCAGAACAGTCCAGTTTCTCTAAGCCTTCACAGTCTCCCAGTTCTGGAGGAATGCTTTTCAGACGGTTGAAACTCACATTGAGTTCCTTCAAGTTCTTCAAACAACCTGTCAGCAGAAAAAATTAATATCCATGGTGCAGGTCCTTTAAGATTTTTAAAGAACAAAAAACAAAACAAAGATGTATAAGACAGATGTAATAAATGATGGTAGGGAAGGCATTAAAAATAATTTTGCATTTCCTTTTAAGCACTTTTGCATTAAAAGTCTGCTCATCTTTTATCCTGAGCACTTTGGACTGTGATCAGAGCATTTTCTGCTTTCTTTACCTGTGTAGCCCTTCATCAAACTACAGGCAAGGTGACTGTAGGGGATATGGCCTCCATGTAGATTGGGTCAGGCCTCAGCAGCCAGAAAGTGCAAATCCCCTTGAAATCATGATGAATGAAATGACAGGCAATGGCTTTGAAGTGGTCCAGTTCCTAGGAAGGATGGTGGCCAGCTGTGGCCTATCAGTGGACTCTAATGGGATGGAGCTAGATATTGAAATATGCACAAAACTTAACTTACAAGATAAATGACTCAAAGTTTTTTTATAGACTGTATAAAATTCATTTATCTATGACTTCATATTTGCGTTGATTTAATTATGACCTGCGATGCTTAAATAATATGCTTTAAAAAGGCCTAAGTCCCTTTTACAGGCAGGAAGTGAACACACGAACAATATCACACAGTAACTGGATTGGTGGAGAAACATTGCATCCCGATAAACACACGACCTGCTCCCAACAATCAACCAGCACAAGACAAAATATTTTAATATTCTAAAAATCGTTGTCTCGCATGTTCCAAGGCATTAAATACTTTAACACTCAATCTAATTTTTAAAATTAGAAAACCAGAAGTATTGTTTACTTTTGGAGAGCAGGCACTCAAAATACAAATATCCTGCCATTCTATACGTGAAAAAGGGAAACTTACAAAGACAGCATATTGGAGGCAGGGTCATTCCTGAGTCAATTTTGTTCATCTCACTGTAACAAGTATAATGGTGATGCTGTGGAAATCTGGACCCTCTAACTTACCTACCGGGTACACTCTGCAACCTTTGTCAGCTACTGGTATCAAAACAGCTTGATGGATAAGGCGGGGTAATACAAAATGAGAAAAAAATTTCTCTTCTGGGGAGGATTGGGGAGCATGTGATCTAATTAATGCTCTCCGGAGCTCCAGATTCTGTAAAACACTGTATTACAAAACACTTCTTCAGTTTAAAGAAGCAAAGTAGAAGGTTGGCATAGATGGTGTGAATATTCTAAGCAGTCTAGTTTTCAGATACAGGAAAGTACATGTATTTATTAAAGTGTTACATAATCAGGTGGATGGAGGCATTTGGTCCAGTACATTTATATCAACTGTATCAGAATTTGTTTATATAAGGGGGTGCCAAAAGAAAATGAGATAACCCGAGAAAAAGGTGTATACTAGCTCCTCGTAAGCTCAAAGAGAAAGTCAATTTTTCAGCTCGAGAAGGAAAAAAAAAGTACTTTAGAAAGTATACCTCCAGTATAACATTTCAACAACTTATAGACAGAAAGAAATCATTTATGTTTGTATTCAAATCACTCTTCTTGCCATTTATTTCACCATGCCTAATCTCCTTCGATAAACACGACTTTTCCTTTCTCAGTATCCTGCTGAGAATTGGGCACTCCTAATAAAAACAGCATCATACTGGCATAAAAACAAACATATGGATCAATAA